GTCTCAATGTCTCACCGTGTCTCATCATGTCTCACTGTGTCTCAATGCGTCTCAATGTCTCGCCGTGTCTCGCAGGACGACGGAGCGGAGCGGCTGCTGAACGAGTCGGGACTCGACGCGGAGCTTCGCTCGATCTTCGGCCGCAGCAAGCCGGGATCGCCTGCGCCACGCCGCCTACTGCCCAGCCAGAGGGCGCTGGCGGTCGCGGCGAGCGACGTCGGCGCCGCTGAGGCATCGCGGGATTGCGAGGAATGCGTCGTTGCTGACGTGGCGACGGAGACCGGCGATGGCGCGGAGGAGGTCACAGCGACGGAGGATGAAGTCGTAAGTGTGCGCGCGCAGACTCTGTGTGAATGCTGCGTGCAGTTTCTAGATAAGAACAACCATTTGTCTCTGACGCCACCTTTATTCTAGGCATCGGACGTGGGACAATGCAGACAACTGAAACATATAAAATGACGGATGATTAGACAACTGAGACTGATTATAGTCAACCTACTCTTATAATCAACCGACTCTAGTTTCGCAGGAAGATGGACTCAGAGAATGCAGGATTCAGAGTTTTCCGTGGTTTTGTTTTCCGCGGGGCTACCGTTCTGCATGTAACTTTTGCAGTGGAGGGTATCGCTGTCGTTTGTTCATGGTTGAAGTTGGTCGGTGGTTGTTTTTTGTTGGCTGCACGTATCCTAGGTTAATTTTCAGGGGGTTTAGTTGCTTCATGGGTGGTTTTCAGAGACGGAAAACCCGTGTTATAATCGTGTCATACGGCACACCTACGCAGTACGACGATGAGTATGTTTTGAGTGCGGCAACATCAAATGTGGCACAAGGGTAAACATCTCTCAACCTGCAGAACACGCTGTGCAGTCTGCCTTGCACTGTTATCACGATTCTTCAATGTTAGGACGGTCGTATTGACTCTGGCATGCACGCGTGCAAACGGCTTGGGACGAGTCCACGTAAAACTGCCGGGTGATTCAACCGTGATATCTGGCACTTTTCCGGGAAATAAGAGGTTGGTCGACATGTGAAGCTGAAAAGAATCATGATCACAATGCGTGGGACAGCTGTTTGATGCGGTGATACCGCAGTCGTTATGTAGTACCCAACAGAGTACAGGAAGCAGGCAGAGAGAGAAAGAGAGAGAGAGCGAGAGAGAGAGAGAGAGAGAGAGAGAGAGAGAGAGAGAGAGTCGCCGAACGTTAGTTGTTTGTACAGTTTTCGTAAAGTAAATAGTGACGCTATTGTTTGTGGAAAATGTCAAAAAAAAACGAACTCACCTCTGCAACGATTCTTCGTTCTCTGGTATGCGGCAGCGTTAGCGTGTGTAAACACGCCCCTGTGGGGATTGGTTCGTGACGCAGACCTATTAAGAGCAGGTCTTGCAGACCTTTGGCAGCCGTGTGTGTGTGTGTGTGTCAATGAGGTGTCACCTGTTGTTTTGTGAAGGATCATAGTGTCACAGCTAGCGAGACAGACAACGTACGTAGGTGAGTGATGTCGTGATTGTGTCCACATACAGGATAGCAGCACAGCGAGTAATACAGACAATGTTTGTAGGGAACTGATGTCTCACTGGTTGTTACGTACGTGCGTACATGCGAACATCCCAGCTAGTGAGGGCGCCACCATTGCAGGCTTGATGGTTGTTTATATATTACATCTATATAATTAACAGGATTAATAATATTAACAGGATTTAATATTATTTACACCACGAATAGCATAACCACGTATACGTATTTGCGTTAATAATATTATTATGTTTACATAAATAGATGCATTATTATTTGCAGGATTTAATATTATTTACAGGAGAGCTTTTGGGCCAAAATGAGTGATAAGCCGTCTCAGTCGCTGACGTCTCGCCGACACCAATGTCTCCGTGATTCATGTCTCACTGTCTTATGTTTCATGTGACAATGACTCTTGTCGTTCGCAGGAGATCGTCGCTGTCAGCGAGGGCGCCACCATCGTCGTGCAGGGTCGCGGGGTCGCCTGCAGCTTCGTCGCTCGACGCGAGCGCGCGTTCGACTGGGTCACGCGAGACGTCGGGTACTGCAGCGAGACGTCGAGTCACCTCTCCAGCGACGAGACCGACCTCGCGGCGGCCGCAGCGAGGCGTCTCGACTCCGGTCTCGACACGGCGGCCGAGTCGTCGAGCCCCGAGGCGTCCGGCCGCTGGACGGACGTCGACGGCGGCGCCACCTATGGGCGGAGATGCGCAGCGGCGTCCAGCGGCGAGTCGTCGCCGCGGGAGGACGGGTTCCAGCAGGTGGCGCCGGCAGTCGCGTGCGGCGGACAGGGGTCCCTCGCACGGAGGCTGGAGAGCTACGAGCGGGAGGAGGCCGAGCGATGCCCGCATCCCGGCCCCGTTTCCATGGCGACGACGACGACAACTGATCCCGTTCCCACACTCGGCAAGTTTGCGAGTTCGGTTGTGGATGCCAGCGCTGAGTGGTGTCGGTCGACTGGGAACGGGGATTGTGACGCTGACGCGAGGGAAGAGTCCAGCGATGGATTGTTTTACGATGACTCCATGGATGTTGCTGAGGTAAGAAACACATCCCCATAATATCAAGAGCTAATAATATCAAGAGCTAATATCAAGAGCTAATGATAATATGTATGTATATATATTTACATTCGAGCATTCATTATAATTTTTTTTTTTTTAAATGATAAATTTATATTAAATATGATTTGTATAGTAAATTTATAATTTTTTCAATGAATCACTGTAGTAATTTTGTATAGGTATGTAATAGATTCATGTTTTCTAGACACTGAAGACTAATCTTACAGTTTGTAGTACATGATAAACATATGTGTCACGTGATAACATGTACACTTGTTGGATTCATTGGATGGATTGGTTGGATTGGACTTCGTTGGATGGCATTCAAATAAATTAATGTGATAAAAATCATTGGATTAACTGTTCACAAATGCATCATTGTAAATGTGTATACAACTGTATTATGTTTCTAGACATAAAGACCTAGTTTCCTAGCACGACTTGAATTTGCTATCCTAAATTTATACATCGTCGTTTATGTTATCATCGTGTTTTAAATGTTTCCAGGAGGAGTATAGTCATGGTTTCCTTGAGGAACTGGCCACACTTCCCATTGACATCGATGTGGATGATCTCAACACTGTGATTCTGGAGTCGGCAAACCAGCTGTTGGAGTTTGAAGAGTGGATGGTGGGATGGCAGCAGGAAATGACTGTGGGGGAGGGCGACTCGCAGGACTTCAGCCAGATTATCGTAAGATAGAGATTTGGTAACGTTTGTAATATTTCTCAAGGTTGAATATTAGGGCACATCTGTGCAGTTATCAATGTGTGTTAGTAATTATAAATCAATCGATCAATCAATGAATAAATGAATATGTATGTACTATATATAATAATACTATATATATAAAGTATTACACAGTCTGTATAATAGTTCTATAGAGGTCACCAAATCCTGGTGGGAAAGGTCTCAGTGATTGCGTTCTGCAGTACTGCAGTCATTAATAGTATTGGAGATATTGCTGAGATATAAAATGAAATAAACAGGTTGTCATACATGTATATATTGCTCTCTGTACATGAATGTATCGGTCACGGTGTATCTTTGCAGCGGGACTTGCTGGAGACATTAGAGGCTAACCACAGGTGTCTGAAGGTCGTGTATGACCAGATAGCAGGACCAACCGCCACACTGTCTGTATCTGAGCAGGAGATCACTACTGTGGCAGGTACTAGCACTATATACAGCTGCTCACATATATCAACAATAATAATAATAACGATAATCATAATCATAATTACAACAACGATAATTATATCAATAATTAGAATACGAATAATTATATAATCTAATATCTACAATTATAATCTAATATGGTAATGACAATAATCGTAATCATGGCAACAATATATCTTGAAAAAGAACTGTAACATTCTCATTGGTTATTCCAAAAGGAAGGAATAGTTTAGCACAGCTACCAACTTCTCCCGCCATTTCCTCACCAAGGACAAATCTCCATTCATGGTGAATCGAGTTGGCCGCATGTTTGTTTTACGATGTCGGTGTTTACATTGCAGTACTATACACTTTGGTGGCGTGCACTGGACATAATAATTATGCCGCTTTACACACAACAGTCGTATACAGACATTGATTCTTTTTCATTATATTATATATCATATATATTTTAAATAATATATATATATTTATATATATATATATATAAAATTGTTTTGCAGTATATACATATCATTATTTTATATTTTTATATTGAACATTAAAATTATTTTCACCTAAATCACACGTGATGTTGTCCCGCAGACTTGCTGCACCGCTGGCAGGGTCTCATCGATGCGGCGGGGGGCGCGCAGCGCACGTGGGAGGCTGTGCGTGCGATGCAGAGCGACATCATCGCACTCGAGGAGATGCTCGTTGTCATGGAGATAGAGGGTCTCGCCGACTGCTCCGATGACTCGCCGATGGACCTCGGCTACCTAGAGGAAGCGGTGTCCGCGCTGAAGGTCAGCAGCCATCTTGTTTTGTTCATTGTTGTATATTTATGTATCTTTTGCGCATACTTTCTTTGCTGCTTTCTCTGTCTCTGCCTCTCGGTATCTGTCTCTGTCTGTCTCTGTTTCTGTTTCGGTCTCTCTCTCCCTCCCTCCCCATCTCTCTCTGTCTGTCTGTCTTTCTGTCTCTCTCTCTCTCTCTCTCTCTCTCTCTCTCTCTCTCTCAGTCTCTCCTCGTCTCTGCGTCTTCGCTCTCTTCGTCTCTCTCGGTCTTCGTTCGTCCTCTCTGCTGGCTCCTACTGTGTGCGTCTCTCTCTCTGTCTCTCTGTCTGTCTGTCTGTCTGTCTCTCTCTCTCTATGTGTTCTTTATTTCGTTGTTTTTATTAACTCCTGATGTGGTCATGTTCTCGCAACGATACCCTGTACCTACTAATCGCACGTAGAATCCCTAACCGATGTGTCGTTGTCATGGTTTCGCAGGAGCAGCTGCATCGGCAGGAAGACATGAGGAAGAGAATACTCTCGGTGAACATGCTCCTCCACGGTTTCCATGGCAACCACCCCAGCATCAATGTCAACGCTCTGCAGGACGACATCACTCCCATCTTGCTGAAGTCGGATGAACTACATCACAGGTGAGTTCTAGCTATATGCACTATTTGTGTTGCCTTAACGGCTTTTGGTGTTTTTCTCTGTGATGTACACGCAACTCACGATAACAATTTTGATTCATTTTGTAACCCATGAAGACTTAAATAGACTTACGTAAATACGTCCGATAAATTGTTATATATTATCTATATGTATATATCTGAATACAATTCCATGAGTGGTATTTACTGATGTTTATGAAAAGTCATGAATTAAATCATTCATGCTCACATCTACAAGCTATAATTGGATGGGGGCCCAGTTATAAGTAAGTAACCATATAGATACTTGCTACAGGCATGTAACAAAAGCAGCTGATGCATATAGTATGCCATTATGTTATGCCATCATGATGCACATATGTCACATATATTATTTTCCCAAAAATATTTTGCATATGGGCTGAATCTGTTTAGGTTATACTTGCATTGGCTGGAATCGATATGTAGAGAGGGGCTCTGATGAACCTACAATATCCTGTAACTATTCGGTACGAAAATATTGAAGCTCCTCCGTAATTACAATAGTGCAGTAACTATAAATGAGCAAGTTGAGAAGATCTTATCACGGCGTTGTAGTCCGTGTAAATATCGTATTCCAAATTGCTCGCTTGGTGGCAGCACAAGCCAAGTTAACTCTTCTCTGAGATTTGCTCCGTACCACCATAATTATGATTTATGTTGAGCACTAAAAATTTCGCGATGAAACCAAGCGCCCCCTAATCAACGCCCGCAGACTCCAGAGCGACAGAAGAGAGAGAGATAACGCACATGGATTCACAACGATCTCCCTGCGGTTGTCATATGCGATAAAAATTCGATACCTCATTTATAAACTTCGCATTTGAATTTTACGCGTTTACAACTAGCGGGCAGGTCGGGGAAGGAGAGAGAGTTTACAACTCGCATGGGGAGGAGGGGGAGGGGGAGAGAGACGCGTTTACAACTCGCATGGGGAGGAGGGGGAGGGGGTGAGTGACTACTGTTGTTGGTCGAACGAGTATTACAATTCATCTTCGCGCGTGCGCTTTCATTTTTCACCGCTTCCACGCGCGATGTTGTTATTTATTGGCGGCGATCGGGCCGGCAGGTATGCGGCTAACAGGTGCTAAGCTGCTAATCACTCCATCTCCACACCAGCAGGTGATGGACGGCCGACATGTCAGCACCTTCAGGCTGTTCGCTACTTGATTTACGATCACTGGCGTAACGCCCTCTTACTCCGCTCCTCTCTGTGCGCTAACCTGCAGGTAGCTACACGTACCTGCATCGCATGCTAGCATTCGGCAATTGCTGAATGTTCGTTCGAACGCCCGGTCGAATCCTGCAGCTAATTAATTGCGATTTATGCGGTTTTATGCGTATTAAAGCCGCGGTGTTATCGCCCGTGTTGTTGGGTGTTTCTTTGGAAGAGTTATTCTTCGGGAGGTAATGCAGGGTCGGCGGCCGTTGTCACCTGCCTTTCGATCGTCTCGTCAGGTGAGAGACCACCGAACAGATGTTATCTGACGAGCAGCAGCAGCAGCAGCAGGTGGTTTTAATTAAATTTATCGCCGTTAAATTTCGGTTGTCGAGTGAAAAGAAGGAGGCTGACATATAAAAAAAATTCGCTCGGCGATTTCATTAATTCGACGCGCCCCATAAAAACCGCCCCGTTTCGATGAATAAAATTTAATTTAATAAAGTTAAAAGTAGGTCGAAATAGAGGTGCGCGTGTTAATGGTGTCGTTGTGAGGCGTCTCGTATTTCTAGTGCATCCACATAAAAATAATCCCCCACTACGATGAATTTGAATAGATATTATCAGGGGTGTTATTAATATAGACTATGGTGTAGGGCCTATATAGTATGACACTCCTGATATTATCAAGAGTCCGTAATACAAAATTTCTATTATGGCCTCTTAATATTATTCATGAAATTCTGAATATGTAGTAATAGTTTTTGCTATACATCTGAAGGTATGTTTGACGTAAAGGCATGTAGTTTTCTGGTCGTGGTAACGCACATCAATCTATTATGTTATCTGTTATTCTTATCAATTACCAATATCAATCTTCCCTAGCTACAAGGCTATGAAAAACGCAACCATTACGTTTGGTCGTGAAATGCCCAGATTGATTGATTCGTCGTTAAGCCGAAAAGTTCTCAAACATCGGCTTAAGCACGCAGCGATTTTATTTTACGTCTGCATTTAGTTTGGTTCGAACCCTCTTACTTTCTCTCTCTCTCTCTCTCTCTCTCTCTCTCTCTCTCTCTCTCTCTCTCTCTCTCTCTCTCTCCGCTCTCGCTTCTCTGCTCTCGAGCGGCTCGTTCTCCGCTCTCTCTCCGCTTCATCTTTTCGCTCTCTCTATCTCGCTCTCACCCTGCTCTCTCTATCTCGCTCTCTCGCTCTCTCTATTCGCTCTTCGCTCTCCTCTCTCTGCTCTTCTCCAGTGCTCTCTCTCTCTCTCTCTCTCTCTTCGCTCTCTCTTTCTCTTTTCTCCTCTCTGCTCCTCTCTCCTCTCTGATCATCCTCTATTATCTCGATACCTCTCTCGCTCTGCCCGTCTTCTGCTTTTATCTCCTTCTCTCTCGCTCGTTGGCTCTCCCTCTCTCTATCTCACGTCCTCCGCTCTCTGACTCTCTCTCTCTCTCTCTCTCTCCTCAGGCTCTATCTGCTCTCTCTCTCTATCTCTCTCTCTCTCTCTCCTGCTTTCCTGCCTCTTCAACGCGCGCTCTCTCT